GAGGGAAAATTCCTTGTTTGTGATGTGCAAGAACTTTCTACACAATATGAAAAGGTTTGATATAATGGCTATTTATACCTGCTTCCCCCTCCTCCCCTTAACTGTTTGTATAAGGTAGACATGTCCAAGGCAAGAGATGAGTGTAGGACTTTTCCAAACCTCTGGGTTTATTTGCTTAGAACATCAGTGCATCTACTTGGGTGGATGGTTCTCTTAACCTCTGTCCTCCTGGAAATAAAGGTGTGTTTTGGGTTTTGCTGCTGTTGTGATTTTGGGTTTGGGATTTTTTGGGTTGTTTTGTTTTCTTTTGTTAGTTTTGTGGTTTGTTTGTTTGCTTGTTTTAAACATCGAGGCTATTAACAAGCAATAAAAAATACAAGTAGAGGGAAGAAATTGACAATGTTTACTACAAGGCAGATAGACAAGACCTGTGTTATGTTTTTCACTGTCCTGCAGTTGACCTCGGCCTGTTTATCTCAAGGCTAAATCCAGTACTCATCTCCACAATATTTTCATAATGAAACAGCTAATGTGTCTTTGTATAATAAGATTCACCATTTACTAGTGTACATGAAGCCTCCATAGGCTTCAGGAGCAAGTAGGAAAGGACTTGGTTCTCCTGTTCAGATTCTACCAACAGGAACTTGATCTCCAGAAGGAGCACGTGGAATGCTGTAAAGCACAGCCACGAATGCTCAGTGGCCAAGGCCACTTCTTGGCCGCTGTGAATTCTGAACGCAATCTAATGTGCCGTGATCTGGGTCACACGTCTTTCCTCCCTGGGTTACTTCCATTGACACATTCAGCTCGGTAAAACTAACCTTTATGCAAACTTCTTATTGCATGGACTTTGGAGATGACTTGGTGGATTTTCAAGTCTTTATTGTCACAGATCTCCTTCCCTTTGCACCACCGATTTTAATAATGCCATTCTTAACATATCTTTCAAACACAAACACATAAATTTGGGGAAATCTTGTATCTTCTCTGGCCTGCGGAGAAAGAAGCAATGCTTATTATCAACCATTACAGTCTGGTAATCCAAATTCACAGCGAAGGCAATAATGTTCCATCTCGTGTGCTGAATAGATTAACGGTTTCATTTATTTCGCATCAATCTGAATGATGGAAAATATGTTGTAACAGAAGCACCAAATTGAAACTGAAAATAACTTGAAATACTTGTATCCTATGCCTGCTTTTAGTGAGTTATATTAACCAAAGTACTTCCAGTTTAAGTGTCTGCAACTGAGCTGTTTGGTAATCAGCTTTAATTAAGCTTTATTTTATTTTATTTTTTTTTTCCCCACTTAGTTTGGCTAAGATTTTCATGGGAGGTACTCTCCCAGTGTACGCTGTTTAACTTACTAAATCTTTATTTGCTGGCTTGGAGATAAGAATTAAATGATTTAGAAATTAATCCTTTTAGCTAGCTAAATACGTACTGTTTTTGTTTATAGCCACGTTATCTGTTTCTACATAAGAATTTATAAAATCTGTACATATTTTAGCCACTCATTAAAAATTCTAATGTGTCTTTGATTCAGAGGAGTAGGGAATGCAAATATACATACCTGAATATAAAAAGTTAGGGAGTGCCAAGTCCCTGGGAGAATAGTATATGATGAAGAAGCAGAGGGACAATATAAATGTGTTTTGGCTGGTATGTTAAAGCTGACAAAAGATGCCATTCTTGTTACTGAATTTTCATAAGGAAGCTCATTGTCTGGAGTATACTCTGTCTTGTGCTGGTTTTGGATACTGTAGGCTGATAAAATATTCTGGAACATGACTATATTTTTGTTTATAGCCAATGTTTTATCTGATCACAGAATCCAAAACTTTCAATCTGATGCTTATGTCAAGACAAAGGTATTTAATGGTAAAATATTCTTTCTGGCTTAGTTCATAGACATTTGATGCAAGTTGGAATAAGGGTAGAGCAGACTTCTCACAGGAGGAAAACCTGAATTCAGATCTGTGGCCTGATTTAGAGGAGGTCCTCTGAACAGGATAGAGGATAAAGGGCTAACTCTATTAGACTACTTAAAGTCTGTAAGTATGAAACTCATGGAAAAACATTCCTTTGGTCTGGAATTGTCAGCTCTCTACAGTAGGGTAAAACCTCCCTTGCTGCAGTGTTTATTCCCTAGCCTTAGGTGACCACATGAACACGATTCTTCCAAAGCTGGCGGTTCCCAGCTATTAATTACGTGGCAAATCCAGGCTTGTGCCCTCGGGCTTCAAATGCCATTCAGCATCATCACCTCTGCAAGTTGAATTGTGCAGTTTACATTCTTCCTGGAGCTCTATTCCAAAGGTGTTTTCTCTTGAGAGAAGGTAGTGGCATTATCTGGTATGGATGTATTTATTTAAGGTTTTTTTCATATTTGCTGTCCAAGATAACTGGCTGTACTTGGAATATGCACCTATTAGCTGAAAAGATGATGGTATTTC